GGGGGAGAATTAAATAAGTGGTTTTCCGAAGATATCACATGTTCAGTGCAAAGTAGACTGAACATGTTGTGTCAGCTGAAAACCTTATTCTCGTTCCTGCGTGTTGACCCCTTTGGGTGTGGCATGCGAATTTTCCAAGCCTCACTCCTCTTCACCTGCACCTCCTGCTACGGTGACTGTGTGCATGAATGGATCTACAACGGAAGTAACCTTTGTGTCCTTACCAAGTGCTCAGTTGTTAACATACGCCAATCACAAGCCGAGTTTGGACGATTTATTACTGAACAAGTCTGAACAGTGCCCTGTTCGTGATTCCCTTGTCGTTGTTAAAAACATCAAATAGCCACCACCCTATATAATTTTCGTCTTTATATTTAAAGGCACAGTTCCAGCGGCGGACCATCTGGCAACGTTGCGCATGTGTACTGTCAAAATCACACACAGTCACATCAGTATTCTCCATACTGTTCTCAATTCATTTTCTATGATATTGACCTGGAGAAATTGTTTAACAATCAAGAGCCTCTTGAAAGGATGATAATTTTCTGTGTTCTCACAGCCTTAGTGATTGATTCAGTAGTGATAATGTGACGTAGAAAGAAAATAGATACCAGTCACTCTTAGGGATTAATTAAATTAATAGTTACTTGTATCTGATTGTGCGCGGAAATCGTAAAGAAAAGTATAAGGTAACCCGCATCATCATCTAATTATTCTTCTGTCATAATTTTTTACAGCTCCTTCTCTGCAAGAGGAAGGATAAAGCTGGAAAAGCACAAATAGTACTGGATCCATGCGGGGCAAACCTCTAGAAAGTGTAATCAACAGACCCACCAACATGCGTGTTGATGCACTGCATCGTACTGACATGATGTTCGATTACGACTCGTCGTTGACTAGCAGCTTGGAAAAGGAAGTTCAATTGCCTGTGCCACTTCAGTTAAGTGCAAACAGTTCACTCTGATAACTGCTAAGGACGTTAAGTCTAAGGATGATCGAGATAGCGCACTGATCAGGGATACCCTGTGCAAATGCAGACGAAGGTGGATTTTTTGGTCAAACACCATCTCCAACGGCCAAGTGTTCTTTCAATGTGTGTATGGGAACCATCCTCCTCATGTCTGGATCAGACTTGTCCAGTGGAAAGAACTGAACAACATCACGTGTGTGGCACTCCATTGAACACCTGAAGGGGGGAGGAAGAGAGCTGGAGAGGCACCAACACCAAGCTGGCCCAGAACAATCAGGAGTGGAAGACCTCCGTTGCCGCCCGAAATGCCAGCTGGCATAGGGATAACTAACGCAGAGTTATTTTCAAACTAGTGCAGCGTCCTTGGCCGAATTTTGGGCATATTCGAACACAGTTTACAGAAAATGGTTACTCTTTGGAATCCCAAAACGCAGTGAATAGTTAATTAGACTATGATACTTTTTGATACAATGAAATATATGAAGTTCATATATTTTGAACTGCGGTATTAGATACGTATGATGCACGATCCTCGCAGTAGATAGCGCTATTTAAGCAATAGCGAAAATCAGACCTGAAAAAAATCAGGCCTGTACGGGACTCGAACCACTGACCTCTGCGATACTAGTGCAGCGCTCTACCAATTGAGCTAACAAGCCAACTGGGAGCAGGCCGTTAAGTTGATTCGTAATAAACCCGTGAAAGTGATAAATCAGATACAATGAAATATATGAAGTTCATATATTTTGAACTGCGGTATTAGATACGTATGATGCACGATCCTCGCAGTAGATAGCGCTATTTAAGCAATAGCGAAAATCAGACCTGAAAAAAATCAGGCCTGTACGGGACTCGAACCACTGACCTCTGCGATACTAGTGCAGCGCTCTACCAATTGAGCTAACAAGCCAACTGGGAGCAGGCCGTTAAGTTGATTCGTAATAAACCCGTGAAAGTGATAAATCGTGCATCATACGTATCTAATACCGCAGTTTAAAATATATGAACTTCATATATTTCATTGTATCTGATTTATCACTTTCACGGGTTTATTACGAATCAACGGCCTGCTCCCAGTTGGCTTGTTAGCTCAATTGGTAGAGCGCTGCACTAGTATCGCAGAGGTCAGTGGTTCGAGTCCCGTACAGGCCTGATTTTTTTCAGGTCTGATTTTCGCTATTGCTTAAATAGCGCTATCTACTGCGAGGATCGTGCATCATACGTATACTTTTTGATGGCAGAGATAAAATGTCATGGTCTCTAGAACATGCTTTTCCTCTGCGCTAGCAGACTGTTTTTGATACTTGAAATCAGGAATCATTGTTTGTTTTATCGAGTTGTTAGTTCTGAAGTGGAGTGCAACTTTTTGACTGCTTTCAATTAAATTTTTCTTGAGGTGATGAGGTCACTTGGATACGCTTTACCTTACAATGCACGATGCCTCGCTGTGATTGGATGCTTTTCCACTTCGGTGCAGGATTATGCACGGAATACACCGAGGCGCGGTTTTGCCAATGTCAAAGCTTTGTCCGAAAATCTTGGCCCCTTCCAACATCAAAAGGGCGTTCGATCTGTTTTAAGTCGGAGAATACCCAATGATGAGACGTAACGCGGCCAAAAGATGTTCTTAAACTCATCCCAAAACACCCTTACCTCATCCTCTTAAGAGGGCGTGGTTTTCAGGATTCCCTGAAAACAAGGAGAGTTTACTTCAGCAAGAATGGAAGGCGTACGCAAGTCGGAAGCAACGAACACAACAGAGACATTTTGACCTGGCTTTAGGACTCTAGCCTGCTGTGTCTTTGTCAAAAGAGAAAATTAGCATCTAGTAAGAATTTTCTCTATATGTGTTTTTTTTTTTAACTTATTTAAGTGTTCGTGGAAATGAATGGAAATAATATATTACTATAAGCCATTCAGTTAAATTTTTTGTCGATCTTACTCTACAAGTAGAATTTTTGTCACCTTATTTTTATTGTGATCGTGAATTTGGCATGGAGACAGATGTTTTTACATCAGCTATAATTTGTAATCGAATGCTAGAATATTTCCATTGTCTTGCGAAAAGCTGTCCCAATTACGTTTACTTGATCGATAAATAAAGAAATGACTTGCCTTATAAAAATTGATCCCCTACAGGAATTTTCTGGAAATCATCCTTTTTATATTTTTAACCGCTTTATTTTTCTCGTTTTTGGGTCAACTCCATGACGGATTCCCAATCAAGAATATATTTCTCAAATTTTGATTTAGCACGTTCAACACCTTTTCTTTTAAGGTGACTTTAAGGCTCTGTTTTCTGCACTGAACTTTTAGTTGGATAACTTGTTCAGGGAAAGCGTAACTCTCTTGGGGGCGTCGCCCTTTCTTCTCCAAAGTCTCTCTTTATATTAGGTACCAGAGGTATTCCATAATTTTCATAATGTCAATCTTGTTTTCGTTTTGCCCGACCTTAGCCGCAAAAGTAAGAAATTTCGCGAAAAAAAATGATTTTCTAAGGAGCAAATATCTTGAAGGTACATACTTAGTATGCGGGGTCTGTTCGCTAGCTACCGGTAAGTGAGAAATGATGACGATGCATGAGGATTGCAGCTTAGTAAAATACCACTCACTGGTGACCACCTGGAACTGTCTCTCGAAAAACCTGCGCCGAGTAAGCTTCAGTCAACAAGGCAATGCTTCAAAGCCAGCAACGAGCAATTATTAAGTTTACAAATTCAAAATGACTAAAAAGCGAAACAAACGACATTTCGTGCTTTCTATTCGAGAGTTTGACTCTCTATATTCTTAGTTTTCAGGTGATATCATAAAATCTGAACAGACTGATGTCTAATTTTTTAATCTTGGATCGTGTGATATTTCAAATAATTATCATACGGCTTTGAGTAGAAGAAGCTTGGACGATCAAATGTTTTGAGGATAATGTTTTCTTGTGGGATCAGATTTCTGCATCATTTTGAGGTCGCAATAGAGTTTGTTAGCGGAGTATGGCGTCTCCATACCAAGCCGCAAACATTTTCTTGGACATTTTGGCGAATAATTAATGAGCGGAAACCGCGCACAGGCCTAAGACTTGAGAAAGTTCAGCTATCATTATTTCATTATTCAACAAAATGTCAGTTCTAGGCTTAATCATTGAATGATCTTAATTCCGTTTAGTTAAATGAGGTGTGGCAGCGGAGACCGCTATCTCAGTGACCTTCCCACATGAATGATGACTGCTTATTTTGTTTGTGGAAATAATTTTCGTGTCTTTCCCCGACCAAATCGACCTCAGCTCATACCAGTTTCTCAGTGGAGACGAAATATAAAGTGAAGTAAAGTAGTTCGAGTCCTGCCGTTCTCATATAAGCGGTGTTTTCGTTCGCCCGATTTTCGTTCCTCGCCATCGACCGAGAGACTGGCGCGAGCTCTGTCAATCAGAGATGATGTAGACGTTCTTTTTTCTCAGCTCGTATAAAGTGGTAAGGAAGGGAAACAATGCCATGCGCCTGCCACCCGCAACTTTTTTGTGCTAATTAAAACTGACGGGAATGCCTGATCAGCAAGTTATCTTCTTCGACCGATACGCTCTGGAAACCCACACATCAGAAATGTTTCCAAAATTTCAGCTACAAAAGGTCAAAGAAAAGTTAATAAAATGGAAACTCATTAAATATTTCTGATAACGATATTATCATATCTCTTATCAAACAAAATCCGCCCAAAGTGGAACCAACAGCCAGCACTTACATACAGCAAAACTTTACAGAGCCTTTATCAACACTATTGTACAATCGCGGTTGTTGATTGAAAGCAAAATATGGTGGAGACTCTGCTATATTTAAATTAATCTTTTGAACAGAAGAATGCGTTTGGGGAACGAAAGAGATAATGCTCAGTAAGTAAGAATGTTTCGAATAATTCTTTTCAAAAAAATTGGAGTTTTGTCAGCGGGCAACCTCTAATGGGCCAATCACGCAAGCTCAATTTGGGGAAAACTTTGAACCAGTCTATCACGGCCCGTCAAATCACGTCTTCGTTCGCGCTATTTTGAAACGCCTGTAACGTTGTTTTCCGGTACTTTCAAACACTTAGTGGTCGGCGAGTGAAGTTTATATCGTCCAGCAAGTGTTTAAAACTTGCAAATGAAGCAGCTGGCAGTTATCTGATGAGAGACTGCGACAGAATGTGGAATCGCTCGCAACCCTTTTAAACTTCAATTTTCCCGACACGTTTTGAGCATTAGCGGATCTTGGATGGCATTTCCTGGATTGTAGATGTAAATCGAGTCTGTTTCAGTCGAAAGGGGAGGTGTTTTGCCTATCACATTCGTTGGAGTCGTACTTCATGCAAAAAGTTGTCATTGGATCGGTACTTTTCGAGAAAGATTGACGGATACATACAGTAATGCCATTTAAAGTACGCTCAATGTTACAGAAATATCACGTTTCAGTTCAAGAAATGGGATCGATTACGGCGAACGTTCAATGAATAAGTCGTCAATGAGGTCTCAGATTCTTTCCACCCGTGTAGAAAGAAAATTTATTCCTTGTGGAAAGAAGGATAACTTCATGCTACAATGCATATCTTGATGTATAAACTGAAAGACTCATCTCTCGGTCGACTAATTGTTTTCCTTCTGATATGCGCACTCGTTGTACCGCTAATAACACATTACTATTTAGCACAGGAGACTCGTAACAGTTTTCAGTCGCGAACTATAAAGTTAGACAGACCCGCTGACAGAGTTGATTTGGTATTAGACAGGATCGATGGTATGAAATACGAAATTGAGGAGCTGAAGAGGATCAAATTGTCTCTGGGTAATGAACTACGAGAGTTGGAGGGTAAAAAGAACAGGCTTTTACAAATAATTTCCAATTATTCTAAAATAGCAGAGGGCTATAGGGGTCAAGCTGAACATTATCATGGTGATGTGGCTCGGGCTCAAAGGGAACTTGAATTGATAAAACTTGCTAAAAGAAGGGCTAATGACTGTCCAATACTACCGCATTTAAAACTACCTTACAAATTAGATGTCTCACCTTTAAACAACAGTGATTTACTTCCTCACCAAAGTACCGTATCAAACTGTCACCTACACAACTGCTTTGATTTCTCAAGGTGTCCATTTGGTTCAGGTCTCCCAGTGTTTATATATGAGCAGCCTTTTGGCCAGCTGTTGTCAGATTCAGGTGGGATGGAAATTTTTCAGCTGTTACAGGGAAATCCTTATACTGTTGAACCTGAGAAAGCTTGCTTGTACATAGTCATTGTTGGATCAATTGAAGCAAGTCGGCATTCAAAGAGTAAGAGTGAACTTGAGAAAGAATTACACCTACTGCCTTACTGGAGAGGAAATGGTAAAAATCATTTACTTCTCCATATAAGAACAAGTGTGAGGCACTCTACTAGTATTCTCTCTCTGGGTATCAGCACAGGCCTTGCCTTCATTGCTCAGTCAACATTTTTCAAAGATAGAACATATCGCCATGGCTTTGATATTGTTGTACCACCATCAAATGGACCCAGCAAAGGAGATGTGTGGCACCTTGCTGCTTTACACCTACCAGCTAGAAGAACATTTTTATTAAGTTTTCAGGGTGTACATAAAGATCATCTAACTGATACTATGATAATTTTACGCAATCAACTCTATCAAATTTCTAAAGACGCCAGAGACTTTTTCATTGAACTATATTTATCAAAATCTGAATTCTTAGGCTCAGAGCAAAGTGGTGATTGGTTATTGTGGGGAAGCCATGAAAGCAGATCAAAGATTTTAAAGCAATCAACTTTTTCTTTAATAGTAGGATCAAATCATGTTGGCTCAAGTTGGGATAATACTCACATTCGATTGCTTGAAGCCTTACAGTTTGGAGCTATACCAGTCATACTGTCAAATGACTTTATTTTACCTTTCAATGATATGATTGATTGGCGAAAAGCAGCTATCATTCTGACTCAAGCTCGCCTTCCAGAGTTAAATGTTTTACTTAGAACTATAACAAATGAAGATATCTTAGACCTTCGCCGTCAAGGAAGGTTCTTATGGGAAACATATCTTTCAACAACCGATGCTATTTTGAAGACAGTGTTAGCCACTATAAGAACACGCCTGTCAATTCCTGCTGATCCTGTGACTGCATCACCAACAGTATCAGTTTTTGGTGATTCTAAGCCACCATTAACAAGTCCTCCAGATCCAGATGCACTGACAAGCTTACCAGAGGTGTCTCCAACTTTCATCAGGAATTTAACAACAACTACTGTTGATAGCTATTATGCATGGAATTTCCCTCCAGGTTCATTCAGAATGTATCCAAGTACACCATTTGCTCCAGTCCTACCATCATCAGCACCTTTTCAAAATTCAAGCACAAGGTTTGAACTCATTGGTGATGGGATGGGTGGAGCAGGTGTAGAGTTTAGTAAAGCTTTGGGAGGAAATCATCCAGTAGAACAGTTTACAATTGTCATCTTGACATATCAGAGGGAACTGGTACTTATTGAAGCAGTTCAACGTCTTGTTGGCCTGCAGTATCTTAATAAAGTGGTTGTTGTGTGGAACAGTCCTGAGCCCCCATCTTTGTCCCTGAGATGGCCTGATATTGGGGTTCCAGTTCATGTGAGTTGATGATGGAATGATTTTAATTACTTCATAACTGATTATTCCTCATTATTGACTTTTAAGATGTTCCAAAAAAAGTAACCAAGTACTCAATAATAATTTCTGTGGAAAGAGGTAGTTTAAGGGGTGCTAATGCTACATGAACTGATTCTGATACAGTCAAAGCTAAAAAGATTGTGAGAAAAGGGACTGTTTTTTTTCCAAGCTTCCACTTTGTGGCAATGTGTGTTTTGCAGGGTTTTTGCCCTCATCAATTGTTACATGATGAAAGTCAAACTCAAAACCTTATTGTTGTGAAATAAATGTATGGGTTGTTTAAAAGTTACCAACAAGTTAGGCTTATAATTTTAGTTTTATTTCGTTGACAACCACACAATGTCAGCTTACTCACTAATTTACAAGGGAATAGATAGCAAGCATCACAGGCATCAGATTGCAGCAGTTGTGATAAAATGCTGGTAGAGTTGTACTTCTAATAAGCTATTAATACTTTTCTGTTTTTTTGTTTTGAACAGGTTGTTAAAGTAGCAAAGAACAGTTTGAACAATCGATTTATTCCCTACGATGTTATAGAAACAGATGCTATTTTTTCTGTTGATGATGATGTAGAAATGCGACCTGATGAAATACTCCTGGGATTCAGGTGACCAATGTTTTATTATTAACAGATCATGAAAGTGCTCAGTGTTTCCAAGGGAAAATTTGTGCTGTAATTATTTAATCTTGGACAGTTATCAAGTGTCTTTCTGTTGCCATGTTACAACATAATTTGTCATTTAAAGAATACCTCTTTACACCAATGATGAAACTGACTGCCAGAAGGGCATCACTTTAGCATAACTGGCACTCAAGCTGTGAAACAGTCAGTTCAGTTCACATTATTAAGTGAATGGTATTGTTTTGCAGAGTTTGGAGGGAAGCAAGAGATCGTGTTGTAGGATTCCCAGCACGCTTCCATGCTTGGGATGCTCAGAACAAGCAGTGGCTGTACAGTTCAGAATATACATGTGAGTTTTCCATGATACTCACTGGGGCAGCTTTCTACCACAAGGTGAGTCAGAAAAAATGCTTCTGAACAAGTAATGTTGGATATGCCAGCTAGGGAAAAGTCTGCATCGGGTCAAATTTCCCTATTACTTTGATTACAATTTTTCAAGATTTAACCAAAAGAATATTCTCTTGAATGATGAACAATCACGACTTCATATGTTTATAATGCGTCAAATATTTCTGCTTACGTGAAATTGGCCTAATTGTGTCAGGTGACTAAATTTACCCCCAATTAAAACTGTAGAATATTTGGTGATTTTAGTCAAGAGATATTCCCACTATTGGGATGAAAGTCTTTCAATCAAGTTAGAAGAGCATTTCTGTCAAAATTCAAGAGCTCCTTAAAGACTTACTTTTTTAGATTAGCTTTTTATTAGATTTTATTTTATTTGATGTACTTATTTGTAAATAGTTTTATATAAGGTTATATTTAATTTCATATAATTAATACTTATTATAATCTTACATGCACATTATATATATATTTAGTATTTTTTAAATGCACATTAGATTATATGCGTATAGATTTATGTGCAATATCAATATAAAGTATTATTATTAGTAGTAGTAGTAGTAGCAGTAGCAGTAGCAGTAGCAGTAGCAGTAGTAGTAGTAGTAGTAGTAGTAGTAGTAGTTATTGTAAAGAAAAGACAAACCTGTCTGTAGCTTAACTATTTCCCTGAGTGCTACAAAATGTATTTGAAAGATGAAAAACATAATAACCCTCCTCTAATTTGAGGATATACTCTGGTACATCTTTTCTTTTCTTTTGTTTAAAGCATACAGTTTTCCATGAGTTTAGCTCTTGGAAAAATGTTTGCGTTTCAGAACAGATGATGTTTATGGAGAAATATGCAAGTATGTTTCTGTGTCAAAGAGAGGCTTTGGTTTCTGCATTCATGGTACATTGTATTCTTGGAGATGTTATCACAAGTCCTCTTTAAAACTGAAATGACCTCCAAATGTTAAAACCCAAATTAAGCCCCCATCAATCCTACAATTTGAAAATAACCTTGCAAAGATCCTAAGGATTTTGATTCACTACTATTGTAGATAAAGACCCTTCAGCCACCTCTTTAGCTTTCTTCCTTGTTTGATATCATTTGCGACACATCTGTTCTGTTGGGATCCTTGTTCCTTTGGTGTTTCCTTGCCCCAAGGCAAGGTCAACCTGAAGTAGAAGGAGCTAAGCAGTATAAGCATTGTACAGAAAGTATCTAGGGGATAAAGAGTATTTGACAGTATTATATTTATTTTGAAGGTGTTTTAATTACTTTTTCTTTTCTCCTTAGTATTTTCGTTATTTATATACAAATTGGATGCCACAGATTATTAGAGACAAAGTTGATGAATACATGAATTGTGAGGACCTTGCCATGAATTTCTTGGTCTCTCACATCACAAGAAAACCTCCCATAAAGGTATGTATCTGGCTGAGTTGAGTTTATGGTGAGGGATTTATTAGATTTTCAAGCTGCTTCACCAAGACAGTAGTAACCCTGCTTTTAATATTGGCATATGATTGACCAATTTGGTTGGTGTATTGATGGTTTTTTGTCATTGTGGGCCCTCCCTAATAATGGAAAAAAAAAATGATTGCAAACTTGAGAAGCTTATGATTGTCAAACAAATTCTCCTTGTCAGTAACCATAGGAAAAGTAAAGATAACAGTGAGGAGAATATGAGTAGAAATGTTTGAGTGAAAACTCAGTGGGTAAAACAGTAGCTGCTATATAATACTCAGTAGCTTTTGGTTAAATAGAATAATGCTATTTATTTTAGGTGACCTCACGTTGGACTTTCATGTGCCCAAACTGTCCTGTGTCACTGTGGAATGATAAAACTCACTTTGAGGAACGCAGCAAATGTATCAATTTCTTTGTAAAGGTATATGGTTACATGCCATTGCTGAGAACACAGTTTAGAGCTGATTCTGTCCTTTTTAAAACCAGAATTCCCAGTGACAAGTCAAAGTGTTTTAAATATGTTTAAATTGTAAATTAGTTAGATAAAGGCAAAGGTGTGTGAGCAATTTTACAAAATTATCACAGCAATAATGTAAATGTATATTATGGCCACAAAAGAAACACAAAGGACTCATTTTCCGGAAACGCGTGGGTAAATTTAAGGATTTGAGAGATAGTTTATTTTTGTGGTAGCCTTTTCAGGTTGTAAAGGGCTGAAACAGCAGCAAGACAATTTTATTTAAAATCTATGTTATTTTGGATGTGGTTTTCAATCATCACTATGCACGTGGGACTTTGGGAATGATAGAGTTTAGGATATTCTTTTACCCATCCATTTTCTGAATTACCTAAGTTACTACTAACAATAAATGAAACACCCAAAAAAGTTTAGTAGACTTTCATGAACAACAATATTTGTCAGAAAATCTTATGAGCAACCATTCATCGTATACAAATTAAGACTAGCCAGAGCAAATTGAATATTTGTGGCTACCATCTCCTAGAGGAGGCAAAGCCATGCATTTTGTTGAGACAAATGAGTGAGTGTAGCAATAGAATTCCAATTGTGAAAGTCAACGGGACAGTAAATTCTAGAATTAGCTTTCTCTTGTGGGACAGGGTACTCATAAATATGTGGGATGCGGCAGGTTTTCTGTTTTGCTTGTGAGACAAATGTTCTGTAACACTGCCTTTACAGTCTCTAGTTCTTTTCAGTGCTATAAAAACAGGGTGATACCAGTAGCCACATGTAGCCTTTGACTGTCTATTTTATTCAATAGATTGTTTGACCAGTAATTAAGAGAGCCAACACATGGATTTGTTTTTATTATCTTTTAATCATGGTTATTTGTAAGACACTCTTATGATACAAAAATATTCACAAGATATTGAAGACTAAATTCATAGTGTGGCATGTTGAGTTAATTGAGTCATTAGTATGTACCTTTCAACATTGCACGGAATGAGAAAAAAAGAAACAAACTATCAGATTTTAAGTTGTCACAGTGTAACAGGCAAAAAAAGGAAGAAGACAAATTCACAAATCATTGATTAAAAAAGAAAAACTAACAGGCAGAGCATCTTGTTAACATAATGAAGTTTTTCAGTATCAGCTTTTCTCAGATTCTCATAGTATTTAATCCATATGATGACAAATTTCATACATGTAAAGTTGAAAGATGCATACTTGTTGAGTTGGAGGGTAGGGTACAGAAAAGAAAAAAAACTAGAAAAGAAAACAATTAGATAAAAAGACAATTTGAATTTTTCATTTATTTATTACATGTGTATTTTGCTTTTTGCAGATTGTTTGTGAAATATGAATAAATCATTTGAATATATTTCATATCTAATATATATAAATTTTCCATCCAAAATATAATCATTGTAGAGAAATGAAGGTAGAGTAGGAGATTTTATATCTAGCTCAGTCAGGTACAATAACATGTTGATAATTTAAGTTTTACTAGACTTAATAAAGAGAATACCTAATTAGCTAAGCTGCAATTTTCTGTTAGTTTTCCTCAATGAGGGGGGCAATGGGGCCTCTGGGAAACAGCAAAACTGGAGAAAAAACCTCCAAAACGGAAAAATGGACAAAAAAAGGCAGCAAAACCGAAAACCACATGCAAACCTGACAAAACCGCTACATTTTCACCTTTAAAGGGGTCAAAAAGGAAAAAGCAAAAACCGCATCAGCGTTTTCATGAAAACAGAAAACCGAATGCAAAAACACGTAAAGTGTGCAAACTGCTCTGAACATCAAAACCAAAAAACCAAATCTTTTTGGCCCAAAAACCAATCCAAAAAACAGTCAAAACTGCAAAACTGAAAATCCCAAAGCCCCCCTCCTTAATATTAAATGAATATATTTCAAATTGGTTTTGCAATTTATTGCAATTTTTTATTAGTTTTAATTCTTCACATCCAAGATCTCTTTGGTGATTATCCCTACTGTCTGCTATACAATTGTTATGATGTTAATTCAGAGAATTTTGTAGAAGGTCAACTAATATCCCTAATTGATATTTTTTCTTTACTCTTGTCACTTTTCTGCTTGATATATTGATATTGTAAGGGTAAAATTATGGAAGTTAAAGGAAGAAAATGTGGTCCCACTCAGTCAACCATACACTAGACTGTTGAATTCAAAATGATACCATTATCTGATACAAACACAACTGTACTCCGACCAGATTGAGTTTTACTTACATGCCATCGTGTTATTCTTGAGAAATTTTTGCAAGATTTAGTAACGTTTGAAGAGTGTTTGAAATAGAAAAGATTATTTTCAAGATTTTATCAAGGGCTACACGCACTCATTCTCTTTCGTACCTTCTACGACTGATACTCAGTATTGCTCCTATCAGTCTCCGAAGGTACTCAGATAACTACATCACCGCTTCGGGTAAGTTACCCTCCGGGGAAATTACTTCTCCATCTCAACCCACCCGTCGAACTTGTCGTGCGCGTCAAAACAAAAATTTGATGTTAGCGCGGCGCGAGGAGCCCTGGGAGTGAGGCGCCTCTGAAGGGACTGTTCATATCCATAGCCTCATCCGATCAACATTGTGGCATCTATCTGAGGTTCATTAAGGCTCCTTTCTGCTTCATAAATGGGTTGCAAGACAAATTGTGCGGTTTTTGTGGCGATTTTCAGTATTTCAGTGGTGGTAATTCCTATTATTTTGAGTAGATATTCTGTCAACGATGGAAAACCCCCACCCCTTGATCGCGAGGAATGGTGGGGCAAAGGGGACAAAAAAGATGACGAACCGGACACCAACGTTTATGAATTCTCCGTCAGCTTGACAGACGAACTTCTGAAGGATCTTGAAGAAAGATTATCCAAGACTCGTTTCTTTGAAAACTTGGACGGTATCGATTGGGAATACGGTATTAACCCCGACTACATGAAACAATTAACCCAACATTGGAGGACGAAGTACAATTGGCGTAAGCAAGAGGAAATTCTCAACACTTACAAACACTACAAGACAAAGATAAATGGAATAAAAATTCACTTTCTGCATTTTAAGCCTGAATTGAGAGAGGGCCAGAGACTCATTCCAATTATGTTGGTTCATGGTTGGCCAGGGTCGTTTTATGAATTTTACAAAGTCATTCCAAAGCTTATAGCTTCTTCAACAGAAGAGTATGCCTTCTCCATTATCTGTCCATCGATTCCAGGTTACGGTTTCTCAGAAGCCCCTCATAAGCCAGGCTTTGAGTCCTTTGCGGCAGGACGAATTTTTAGCAAGCTGATGGCACGACTTGGTTATGATTCCTATTACCTTCAGGGTGGAGACTGGGGGAGTGCGATAACGTGTGCAATGGCACTAATGGATCCCAGGTGAGGAAGACTTGGTATATTTTATAAGTAATAAAGAAGAAATACCTTTTCTATTTCATTGTTGAGCTCAAAATTAACCTTTATTCTTATTCTATTTACCCATCAAGGGCATAGGTAGAGGGGGTCCTGGGGTGCCCATAACCCCCTCCCCCCTTGTTAGCCTTTTTACTTTTTTCTGAGCAAACAACCTACACTATTCAAGTGGTAAAACCAATGAGCACCCTCAGTTTGATGCAGTGTGACCCAGTCTTTGAAAAGTTCGGGCTATGCCCTTGCATGTATGACAATTTCCACACTACTAGTCCTAACATTGTGCAGAATATGTCTTAGATAATTATGAACCTAGCAGTTGCCTAGCTACCACAAACAGTGTCAGTTGCTCTGGGGATAGATCATCAGGTCAGGGAATCTGAAGATCTGTGATTTGATTCCTTATAAGGAATTTTTCTTTGTTAATCATTTATGACGAGTCAAAGAAACGTCATTTCATCACTGAGCTCTACATTCACCATCTTTCCCATTCTATTTAGGGTTAAACTTTGTCGGAATTGACATATAATTAAGCTAGTCTTTAGGTATTCGAAATTTTCAGTTTGGTTATTGGGATAGAGATTGGTGCAATTATGATTTTCATTCTCTCACATCTCAAGTGCAGTGATATAGAAAATTTTAAACTAATGGTTTCGAATCTCTTAGTTGTCAGACCAGGTTAATATTCCCATTGTCTCAGATTCAACAGAAATATCTACTTTTCTGCAAAATATTACAGGTGATAAGTTTTAATGTTTTTAAGAAGCAAATATCCTACATAGAACCTTGATCTTTATAGGCCTACTAATGATAATGTTTGTTCTGTCTTCATCTTTTTTTAGTCACATTCGAGGACTTCATTTAAACATGTTCCCACTGTTCAATAAAAACCCCTTATCGTACATTCAGGCCAAACTGTTCTTTCCAGAAAAGGAGCAGCAAAAGATTTTTCCAATATCAAAGGTGTTGATTAAAATTCTCCGTGAGGGAGGATATTTTCACTTACAAGGTACAAGTATTAAATATTACCTTTCAGTAATTTTTCATTTGAAATTGAAATTTCTTATTTCTATTTCTGTGGATTACATCTTGCAGAAATGTTTTCATTTGGATTGGATTGCACAAAACTAAGTAACATAAGGGACTATTTTTGGCACTTGGTATAAACTCATATTATTAGTTGTACAAAACCAGGTTGATTGAGGAAATATTTTTCATCAAGTTTTGTTGTAATATCTTGTTTCAGCAACTCGACCTAACACTGTTGCCTTGGCAAATAATGATTCTCCAGCTGGCCTGGCAGCATACCTTGTGGAAAAGTTTGCAATGTGGAGTGGCTGTGCAACCAATCACACAACAATCTGTTTGGAATCCTGCTTCACAAAAGATGAACTGCTGACAAATGTGATGATATACTGGGCCACTCAATCTATTGCCCCGTCAATGAGGCTGTATTATGAAGCAATACACAGTGATGAGGAAGTGCGTTCTGCATCAAGGTGAAAAATGTATTCATAAACTAAAAACTGTTCAAAATTATCTTCATGATATAAGTCTGGACCGAGGCAAGCCTACAGTAGTTCTCAGCATGAGAAATATCCTGATCTTCATGCCATATTTCTTTGGATAGGCACCCATGCTCTAATGAGTACCCTTCCCAAATAAGCACCCAGCACTTAGACCATTATGTCAAACAAGTGCCCCCCTCCTCCCTCACTTTCTTAAATAGTAGGAATACAAAGAAAATCTGTTTCTACTGCCACTTTATTTACAACTTTTCTAGCTTCAACTACAACAGAATCAGAACAGGAGAATAATTTCTTTTCCGTTTCAGTTATTTCTATCTCCATGTGCTTTCAGAATTCCTTTGCGTGTATTATCTGTTCGTTTAATTTTTTGTCCTTTGTCCAAGGCTAATGTTTGAGGAATCATATGTTTAAATAGGTAGTTATTTAATTAGTTATTCAATTGCATATATAGTTATTTATTTATCCGTTTTTCGCTTGGCAGTATCCCCATTACGGTTCCCTCAGCACTGGCTGATTTTCCCCATGAACTTTTTCGGACTCCAGAACCTTGGATTCACAACAAATTTACAGACGTTGTTCAGTTCACAGAAATGCCTCGTGGCGGACACTTTGCTGCCTTCGAAGAGCCCGAGTTATTTTCTGCAGATGTTATTCTGTTTGTCGCAAAAGTAGAAAAGCGCATACTAGAAAAACAGCAGAGGAACTGAAGGAATCCACTGGTTAAAGGGATATACAGACCTCTCAACCTCAAAACACCTAAAATCTGGAGACTGATGTAAAAAAATCTAGAGATTTCAGTAAAAATCTGGAGATTGGTCGACCGGCAGACAAAACCAAGTAAACACAGGTTCTTAAATTAAGAGAAAGTGTTTTTTTTCCTGCTCATAATTTACTTAAAACATGTGTGGATCTTAACAACACAGAAATAATCTTTAAATTTTCATCAGGTTCATCAATTGCCGCCATTTTGAAAACGTGTCGTGTCAAAATGCGAGAGACTGGTTATGATGACTTAATTTGGAACAGGTGTATGGTGGCCGAGAACTGCC